ATTTATAACATTTTAATTATTTCCCATAAGTTGTATGACATGAAAACTTTGTTTAAAGAAAAAAATGTTTGTATCATAGGTACATGATGAAAATTTGTATACTGTTTTAAACTGTTTCTTGACATCTGTAACTCTTAAGTGATATTTGCAAGTAAAAACCAGTGTTACTGAGTTTTATGTACTGAAACTTCCCAAATGCCAGCTACTTTTTTCTTTTTTCAGTACGAGGATTGAACTCAGGACCTTGCACTTGCAAGGCAGGCATGGTGCCACTGAGCTGAATCCCCAGCCCTGCAACAGCTATTTTAAATTCACCCAAACAACCAAGTTGTCATTAATACTTTGTTGGAGTGAAATGTCACTTTAGTGATATTTTGAAAATTGCATTTTCCCAGTTTTTATCATTCTCTATGGATCTAAAAATGTAGACATTATTTTGGTATAATGATGCTATAGCCACTATCAACACTAACGTGTTCCAAGTGCCATCAGACATACAATTTTATTATTTTTTTAATTTTAAGAAGTTATCTATAGGCCCAGCATGGTGGTGCATACCTATACTCTGAGCACTCAGGAGGTTGAGGCAGGAGGATTGCAGTGAGTTCAAAGGCAGCCTGGGCTACATAGTGAGGGAAAAAAATCTGTAATTCTTTTCTCACAGAGAGACATTTCCCAGCTTTTCACCTGTTTGTTTTTCTCCCCCCACTGGAGATTAAACCCAGAGAGCACTGAGCTACATCCCCAATTCTGTTTTTTTGTTTGTTTTGTTTTGTTTGAGACTGGGTCTTTGTAAATTGCTTTAACAGACTGAGCTTTAACTTGCAATCCTCCTACCTCAGCCTCTCCAGTAGCTGGGATTACAGGCATGTGCCAGCACACCTGACTGATAACTATAATACAAGCTTCACAATTAGGAAGTTACCACATTTTATCACTTAGTCCTCCATAGTGTCTCCAAGGTTTGCTCCTTGTCTGTTCTAGTAGAGGATTCCATTCAGATCCACAGATTCTGTTTAGTTCTATGTCTTAGTTCCAGTCTGGAACATTGTTCAACAGAGGCTGGGGCCACGTGCTGCCCAGTCCATCTCAGAGAAGGCAGGGAAAGGCCCTTTTATCCCCGGCAGGAAGAATGGGCATGGGACTGTGGTGTCACCCTGTCCAGCTGGAAGACAGCAGGAGGCTGGCTGCACACAGGGCTGAGAAAAGATGTTCTCTGGGCTGCAGCTTTGTCCTTGTGCCCTGTGGTGAGGGGAGATGCCACCCGCAGAAGTCTTCCTGCCCTCCCGCATCCCTATTCAGGCCCAGGGACCCCGGGAGGCTGTGGATGCCAGGCCCAAGCTAGCGCACTTTGCAGGAACACAGGGCACTTGCCACATGGAGATGGCGGATGCGGAGTTGAGTGCCTGCAGATGAACTTCAGTCCGGGGAACAGGAGCTCCTTCCTCCAGGATGACCCTGGGTGCACTGAACTCATGTAGCTGAATCCACCCAGTTCATTGCTGGATGTGCTGTTGGGAAGTAGAGTCTGGTTTGGAGATGGCCAGTCCCTGGGGTTGTGACCTGGTTTGTTTCCTGTTTTTTGAGAGAAGGCCTCTCTAGGTAGTTCAGGCTGGCTTTGAACTCACGGGGATCCTCCTGTGTCAGCCGCCTTTGTGTTGGCATCACAGGTTGGCACCATCACACCTGGCTGGCTGCATTTTTGTCCCAAGCCTCCTGCTCCTTTCTCTCTCTGCTCCCTGGCAGCCGTGGCATGAGCAGCTTCCTTTACGCTGCCCTTCTTGCCAGGCCTCCTCTGCCTTAGAGTCAGATGGCCATGGACTGAGCCCACTTAAATCATGAGCCAAGGAAACCACTAAGTTGGAGGCATCAGGTGTTTCATCTCAGCAAAAGGAAGCTGACTGATACAGTTCCTCTGCCCTTTAGCTGTTCCCTTTCTAGAATTTCTTCCCTGAAATGCTGTGGGATAATTACCAGTTCAAACTCTGGCATACTTGGAGGAAAATCAAAGCACTTAAACTAATAAATGAATTTAAAATTGAAAACACAATTCTTAGGAAGTTTTAAAGTGAAGACAGACAATGAATGCTTGTGAAATAGGGTTATGGTCAATTTTTAGTCTTGTTTTTGGTACCGGGGGATCAAACTCGGGACCTTGCACTTGCAAGACAGGTGCCAGAGCCACTGAGCTAAATCCCCGGCCAATTTTTAGTCTTTTTTATTAGGGATGTGAGTTTTCCCCATACTAGCTACCATGTATATAGACGTCCCACAAAGAAAACTCCCAGGACTGCTTTACACTGCATGTGTGATGAAGGCCTGGGGAAACAGACCCAGAGCTGAAACACTGGCCTGACTGGGACTCTGAGCCCAACAGACCTGAATCCCTTTGTGCTGCCCACCCCCTACCCCTCCCCGCCTTCCCCTCCCTTTCTTCTTTCCTTTCCCATAGGGCCCTGCTCTCCACCCCATCCCTTTTAATGCTTACCCCTCTCTCTCCCTGTGCATGGCGGTGAGGGCAAGGCAACCAGACCCGCTGCAGCCTTGACTTTACTCTCTGGTGCCTGAGTGCCCTGGCCTTTGTGTGGAGTCCTCTGTTAACTGCTTGGAAGGAAAATGCCTGGTCCTTCCAGAGCTAGCAGCTGCCTTTTGAAGCTGCCCATCCCACTTTGCTCCAGCTGCACGAGCCCCGTACAAGTGGTATGGGGGGCAGAGTGGGGGCGGCGAGACTTGTCCTCTCTGGACCTCCAGGTAAGGGGACCCTGCAGCCAGTGGCTCCTCATCTCCCTGCTCCCAGCTCTTCCATGTCCCCCACCACTCTGCACTGGCGTAGACAGTGCCCAGAGGGTCAGCTGAACTGCTGAACCTCAGGATCCAGAAGAAGTGAAGTTCCATTATATACTGGACCATGTAGTTAAAACATGAAAGTTAAGAGGCCCAAAAGTCATCTGCTATTAACAATAATTCAACTGTGCCTGAAACTATCCCTGAAATAGAGTGGTGATTGGCAGGTAAGAGAAAACACAGAAGGGACAGATTGTACATTGATTAAGAGAAAAAATAAATCCCAGAAGCCAGGGTCATCTGGCTTCAGGTGGGTGACATGCACGTGCAGCAGCCCTGGTTTCTGTGTAAACTGCAGCCCTGTGTGGGGAGGAGCAGTGTCCCTGAGGGACCAGGACAGCCGTGGGACCTCCACTCAACACTGCCCTCCTCACCCCCACCTCAGGCCCAGCAGACGTGAGCCCCCACCAGGTCATTCCCTGTGTCCTCAGGCGGTGGCAGAAGACGCCAGCAAGATCTTGATGACAGCGGCTTCCCATCAGTATTCACATTGCAGCACACCCACGACGAAGTCTTAGAGGCCTCAGAGGGTAGATCTCTTGTCGAGTAACCTGCAGCACAAGGAAAGCAGTAGCGCCCCTCAACTAACAATGCAAAAATAGCCCTGTCTTCATGGGGAACGCATTTGAGAAGCAGAGTGAGTCCCAGGAGGCAGAGGGGACAGGTTGTTGGCATCATCACCAGCAGCCCAACAGAACTGCTCCCCCGAGCAGCCAGCCCCTGAGGTCTTTAAAGCACACAAGTAACCAAACATAGAGGAAAACTTTCCTGAAGTGGAAAATTTTACAGATCAGAGGAAAAACTAGCACCTTCTTTTGTAATATATATGACCTACTCTGTATTTGCGTGCATGACCTCAGTACTTCTGTAATGAGTAAACTTAATTTTTTATTCAGAAACCCTGGGCCGAGGATTTAGCTCAGTGGTTTCAGCTGCCTGCTGCCTCGCAAGGACCCGAGTTTGATCCTCAGTACCAAAAAAAAAAAGAAACCCAAGCAGCTGAAAAAAACAAAAATCCAGAAATATACAATTAGTTTTTGTAAATTGATAAAAGTAATAGCATGTCACTGGCTTCCAAAGAAAAGGTTTTCAAATTAAACACCCATTGTCAGTCGATTCTAGAAGAAGGGGCAACACATGAGAACACCAGGCCTGGATGAATGACAAAGGAGTTTAATCAGATGCCCAGAACACTCAGAAATCAAATTTCTGCTTCATCCCTAGAAGTACTTCTAGACACACATTTTTATCTTTAGAAAAAGTGGGCAAAAAACAACAGCCGATGAAGACAAGTGAGCGCTGCAGAGCGAGAGTGAAGGGACAGCATTGCAGGCCATGTCTCAGCTCTGTGAGTCCCAGCAAGAAGAGTGCCAAGGACCCTGCCACATTAAAATTAGTCCCTCATCTCATAGATGCACCTCATCAGGAATCCAGGGGACATGCAACTCTGTTGGCCTCCAGGAAGGGACGTGGCTCTTTCCAGAGGATGAGTTGTCTCCTGAGTGCCACCAGCAACAGACACTGTTAGTGTGGCTCATGGCCAGCCTTTCTGTGTAAGACAGGAGCTTTACAGAATAGGGATTATACTGGTTTTTGTTTTGTTTTGTTTTTTTGGTACCTGGGATAGAACTTGGGACCTTGCACTTGCAAAGCAGGCAGTGGAACCACTGAGCTAAATCCCTGGCCCTATGCTGTGTATTTTATATCCCATTTAAAAACACCCAGTGTTACTGTAATCATTTTATAATGATTAGAAAGTTTCAATTGTTATATGATATTAACTCCAAAACATGTCCTAATTTATTTCACTATTTTTCCATACAACCCTTAGGGTTCTTCCCATGCAAAAAAAAAAATTTTTGTTTTGGTACCAGCGAAACCACTGAGCTAAATCCCTGGCCCCTTAATTTTTTTTTTGAGACAGGGTCTCACTATGTAGATCAGGCTGGCCTTAAACTCACTATGGAGCCCAGGCTGGCCTGCCTTGAACTTGTGGCGATCCTCCTGCCTCAGCCTCCAGAGTGCTGGGATCACAGATGTGTGCCACCACACCTAGGATTCCCATGTAAATTCATTACGGTTATATGATTGCATGATGAGCATTTGTCTGCCTCACTGTATTGTAAGCCCTCATGTTTGCTTTCAGCTGTGTATTTTCATTCTGGGTCAGGATGAGGTGCAGTGGGTAGACCAGCATTTGTCTAGTCAGTGAATGGAATATACTCTGATTCATGCTCAAACCAGCCTCATCCACAAACTGTTCCTGATTTTCCCATAAGTCATGCTTAGTAGCCTCCCTTACCTGAGATTTTCCTGTAGTTCTTTTATATAATTCCCTGGCAGAGAAAAGAAAAACAGTTTGTCAAGCAGTATGTCCTAGGCACATTCAACCCCAGTAGGGCACTTGGCCAAGAGTGTGGGCCAGAAGCACCTGCCACAGGCTGCACCAGGGACTGTCCAGATCTCCTCAGTGACCTTCGCAAGCAGAGCGCCTCTGGAAAGGCTGGAGTGGGGCCCCCATGATCGCTGTCCCTACCCAAGGTGCCAGAGCTCAGGGGACCTTCTGCAGCAAATGTCACAGCCAGGGACTCTTAGACTTGTGACTTCAAATGCAGAGGGCAACTTGGGATTGAAGTGTGACTGCTTGGGGGTCTCCAGACAGACCACTGACCACACTTAGTAGGAGCAAATATCAGCTTTATTGCAGGTGGTTTCAAGGGATTCAAATCACCTTAAAGTAAACAGAAGTTTACTCTCTTTATGTTTCTGTGGGAGGGAGAAACAGCAACTGTAATTACTGGGGAAACAGCCATCAATGTAAACTTAATTATATAAGCAAAGGGGCAGTGAAGAGGGGAGCAGGAGATTTGGCAGGGCTGTCTGAGATCGCCTTGCTCCAGTGAGCTTGCATTACAGTGGTGACTGCAGTTACAATGTATCTTCCTCAGCAAGTACAGTTACACAGTTAACCCATAGTTGCCCATTTTTACACTGAGGTACAGTTTCTTCCCTCAGGATGAGAAGTCAACAGCTGGTGCTGGAGGAAGGAGAAAAAAGTGTTCAAAGATGCTCTTGGGCCACCGAGGGCCAAGTCACAAGTCAGACACAACTGTGCGCTTGCTCCCCTGGGGCACAAAGTCTCTGTGTCTTTCCCCCATAAAGGACACAGGAACTAATGAATTCCTCACACCAAACCATGTTGTGTCCACAGAATCCACTGAAAATAATGCCAGATATTGACCGCCTTCGGGCCAGGCATGTTGCACAGCTCTAGTTATCATGTTTAAGCAGCAGAGCTGGTGTCTCATCCTCACCAGGGATGCCACTTTGCTTGGCTTCCTGGGACTGTGGCTACAATGGAGAGCATTTGGGGGTGAGGGAGGAGAAAGGATCTGGCTGTTCTGATGCTTGGCAGTGTTCAACATGGCCTGACAGAAATCCAGCAAGGAGGTGGCAGGTTTCTCTGTGGACAAACAGTTATTGGAGCACAAGCTAAACAGAGAAGACACCAGCTGGGAGAGGCAGGCACAGCAAGCCCAGTGCAAGGTCCCACTCTGTCCACTTCCCTGACA